ATTTTTTCCGTCGCACTGTGATGACGTCACGTACGTGCTTTCGTCGAGCGCGCTTTTGTGGACCGCGGTTTTGACGGGTCACGGTTTTTTCTAACTCATTTAAGAATCGGACCTTTTTTTTAACTTGAAATACAAAAAGATACAAAGAAATGGTAACATTGTAACATTATAACACTGCTACTCAGAGGCTAGAGGTTTGTGTATTGGAAACGAAATACTTTTTTTCACTGATTATCCTGGCTTGGCACTTCAAGGACTCACAACTTGTTTATAGAGTGTGTAGTATAGTCCTAGTAAATATAATTGTGCTCTTTTCATGGGCCTTTTACAGGCAGTTCTTGACCTGCGACCACAATTGAGCCCAAGATTTCTGTTGTTAAACAAGACAGTCCCTAAGAGTTTTGCCTCATTGTACGACCTTTCTTGCCATAGAATCGCTGCAGTTCTTCATTCAATAGCCTAGTTGTTAAATGCATCTCGCTTCCCCTTTAACTTGGCTCGTCAAGAGGGTCGCAAAAGGTGATCACACAATCCCAGGATGCTGCCATTGTCATAAATATGAACCAGTTGCCAGGCAGTTTATTCCCGTGACCGTGGGGATGTTGCCACGATCATCAGTGTGAGAAATGGTCACATCCCTTTTTCAAGTGCCATTGTTAGCTTTGAATGGTCGCTAAATGAATGGTTGTTGAGTTGAGGACTATCCGTAGCCAGTTGTTATTTCCAGATTGTTTTACATTCACACAATTTTGCATAGAACTACTGTTCTCACAATAGTTCTATGGAAACCACTACTGTTGGGCTGCAGTGGTCTAAGACACACGTGTTAGGTGTGTGTCTTGTCTTGGATCAAATTTCCTCCTGCTGCAGACTGATTCTAAATGCCCCGATCACACATTATCCTCACATCAGCCTTGGGAGGTAGGCTAGGCTAAGAGAGAATCCTAAATCCTTCCATACCATTGAATGTAAACCTGAATCTGAGCATGAATATATCCCTCCCCATGTGCTAAGTTGAGCCAGCAGGCTGATGAAGCAGGTAAAAAGCCCAAAAAGTATGATGGGAAAATCTGTGATCCAGCAAAGCTGATTGGTTCCTCCTCTTCTTCTCTCGGCAGTACATCGTTGTTTTTGTGGCCAAGGTTTTGCTGGGACAAGTGCAGGAAGTGAAGGACGTACGGGAATATGATACTGATGCTGTTTCTAAGAAGACAGGCAAGGAGCTTCATCTCCACAACTCTTGGAAGGAAGGGTAAGGACGTCTGGAAGCGATGGGATTCTCTTCTTTCTTACCCTCAGTGTCAGGGTTCCAAATAGCATCCAAAAGTAAATCGGAGTCCAAGGCAAAGTATTGCTCAAAGTTCCAATTTATTAAGAGAGCCATGTTGGCGCATCTGGGAAAACCCGAATCTGAAAGCTTCCCGGTTCCCCTCACCCAGTTGAAAGCTCAAGAGTTGTGACCCCCACACCCGCAAGTCCATCACACGGTCCAATCTCCCACTGCCACGCTGGCAGTTCCACCCATCCAATTCCGGTCAGGTGCAGAGGTACAGAGACCAAAGGATGACCTTGGCTTTCAAGAAAGAATGTTGTTATGGCTACATAGCATCTCATTCCTTACAATCCCCTCTCCCATTTTCCCACAATAGAAAATGCATAGTAGAATAATAGAAAGTGTGGCAGGATCTAAAGATCCAAAAGAAAAGATGGCTGCAGGCCTGAAACTCAGTTTCTTCTTCCTAACAATGGCCAGTTGGTTGCTTCTGAGTGGCATACAAAAACAGCGTAAATTACAACTTGAATCCTGTGATACTGTTGTGTCCCGCCAACGCAGCTGGTGGCAGACGCAAACATTGAGGAGGCTGGGGAACAACATGGGCTAGTCCTGGAGTCGGGGGAAGGCTCTGACGAGGGCTCTGCGTCAGAGGCAGAGATGGGGTCAGGGCCGTCCATCAGTTATCATCTGCCTTTGGAGTC